TCAAAAGAAGAGCATTACATTTCTTGACCAAGTAGGTTTTTTTTCCGTGCCGAAATGTTACGCATGCAGAGCAACCAAAGGAAAAAACGGCAAATGTAACACTTTCAAGGCCAACTATGATGGCACAATATATAAGATCAAAGATTTCATTTCATGCCATACAGAGGGAGTAGTTTATGGCCTTGAATGTGCATGTGGTTATCAGTATATAGGAAGAACTAAAAGGCCTATGTGGAAACGCTGTATGAGGGAACATGTACAAAACATAAAAAGGGGTTCCCTAAACATAGCGTTTTCCGGCACTTTTTAAAACAGGCATAATAAAGACCCTTCAGGACTCAAATTTTGGGGTATACAGAAGTATGTGAGTCATTGGAGGGGGAGTAATAAGATTAAATCCCTTAGTCAGGCAGAGTCGAGATGGATGTATACCATGCATACACAGGCACCGCACATGGCCTTAATATTGAGTTTGATCTCAACTGTTTTTATTTGCGATTTTTAAATTTGAATTTTAAATGTTAGAAAATTGATCTGGTAACAGCAATTTACATATAAAATATCTCTGGTAATATTAACATTACATATTATATTTTTTAATTCTGTTAATATAACGAAATGTTTTTTGTAAAACCCAAGCTATTGGTATTTGTGCATGCCACTTTATTTATTTTTATTTTTAATTGTTCTTTTAAATCGGTATTTAATGAGCTCTTTGAGCATTCATGTTCGAATTAATTTACAATGGTCGTGTAGATATATATTTTTAATTTTTTTTTTTTTTTTTTTTTTTTTTTTTTTTTTTTTTTTTTTTTTTCATTATTTATTAATGATTTACTTTTTATTTATTTATTTTTTTTTATTTTTATTTTTATCTATTTTTTTATATTTATATTTTTTTTTTTTTTTTTTTTTTTGGAAACGCATGAGGGAACATGTACCCTCATGCGTTTTTTTTTTTTTTTTTTTTTTTTTTTTTTTTTTTTTTTTTTTTTTTTTTTTTTTTTTTGTTTTTTTTTTTTTTTTTTTATGTTTTATATTATCTACTTAATAGGAAGCCCACTAAGATTAATGGTTTTTATAAATATTTATGATTTAATAATAGTTTATGATTTGGTGTTATTGCACCATTAAAGAATGTAGATGTGGTTCATATAGGCTTAAATATATAATTTGTTTACTCCTATATGTGTATATCTTGAATATGAACATATGGAGATTTATATCTGGTATCCAGCACTAGAATTGCGTATATGGGATAGATTCATGTATGTGAGAGCAGGACTCTAATAAGATGTCCGCCGTATGCCTGCTCTCACAATGGAATCCAATTAGGTTTTTTTTTTTTTTTTTTTTTTTTTTTTTTTTTTTTTTTTTCTCTATAAATACCATTGAGTCACCAGGGGGCGGTAAACCTGATGAAGTCACGACGCACGTGACGCTACGCGTCGGTTTGTCTACTTTCTGGTGACGTATGTCCGGACTACAGTGGCCATATGATTCCCCCAGGTGCATGAGTATATCTACCACAGGCTGGGAAAACGCTTTTTTATGGAAAGGAGCATGTGAGTGGAAAAATTTGTAATTTTTAACTTTGCCTATTATAACATTTAATACACTATGGAAGGATTTATTGTCTTTTTATGAGTTGCATAAGAGAGGAGGAGGAATAAGGAGTCTGCCAGAGGATATACACCATGAGGATGGTAACTGCTTTGAGGCCCTGTGTGGGTCGAGGAGGAAGGGAGGTGAGCAGGCATTGCTGCCATTTGAAAGGAGAGTACTTGCACTTAGAAGTGGAGATCACGTGTGTGTTCCAGCTTAAAGCCACACGGTTCACATGCATGGAATATTTTTTTTATCACCTTTGATATATGTCTTGTTCACCTATGGCATATATCATTTATGTATAATTTAGAACAATACATTGTATGTGGCCATTATTCTGTTTTTCACGTTATATATATTCTGTTCATTTATATTTGATTTATGCACTATATATTTAGTTTCCTAATGTTTGTGTTATTTAGCTATTTTGGTTGACACTATTTTTTGCTTTTCACTAGAGGGAGTCAAACACACATTTTATTATATATAGTGGTCACTTTGATTTATAATTACACTATATTGGAGATACATGATTGTATTCATGTTGATTCAAATGCGCTTCACTACTTTTTAATCTTATTTTGCACTTATTGGTATCAGCCTAAGTGACAGCAGCTGTATTTTGTCAATTATTCCCATGAGCGCAGGGAGGATCCCTTATTATTTACCAAATGTAACCCGCCGCTCCCCGCTCCCATTCACACCTGACACCTTGTAACACTAACGATGTCACTTGACCCCCGGGAGGGGGGAAAATGGCTGATTGTTTTTTTTTAGGCCCAAATTTGGACACTCGTCACTTAGGGGTGGCGAGTCACTTTTGTTGCCAGCGGTGTTGTAGACATTAAATGGCGGTGTTGGGGGTGTGTTGAGTTATTTTGAGGGGACAGCAAATTTCCATGTTATACAAAACTGTACACTGAATACGTCACATTGTAGCAAAAGATATATAAAAAAGTGTCATTTCTTCAGTGTTGTCACTCATGGAAAGAGGAAAATCAGATATTGACACAAATGTGAGGGGGGAGGGGGGGGCTCACTTCTGGTGAGATATATATACACACACATATTGTATACAGTCCAGGGGAGGGGGGGTGTCAGTGGAAGGAATAGTGCCCCATCATTGGTGTCAGTGGGAGGATAGTGCCCCATCATTGGTGTCCTGTGGGAGGGATAGTGCCACATCTTTGTGTCAGGGGGAGGAATAGTGCCCAGTCATTGGTATTAGTGGGAGGATAGTGCCCCGTCATTGGTGTCTCAGTGGGAGGAATAGTGCCCCTGTCATTGGTGTCAGTGGGAGGAATAGTGCCCCGTCATTGGTGTCAGTGGGGAGGAATTAGTGCCCCGTCATTGGTGTCAGTGGGAGGAATTGTGCCCGTCATTGGTGTCAGTGGGAGGAATAGTGCCCCCGGTGTCAGTGGGTAGGAATAGTGACCCGTCTCTTCATTGGTGTCTAGTGGAGGAATAGTGCCCCGTCTATTGGTGTCAGTGGGGGGGGGGGTCAGGAATAGTGCCCCGTCATTGGTGTCAGTGGGAGGAATAGTGCCCCGTCATTGGGTCAGTGGGAGGAATAGTGCCCCGTCATTGGTGTGTCAGTGGGAGGAATAGTTGCCCCGTCATTGGTGTCAGTGGAGGAATAGTGCCCCGTCATTGGTGTCAGTGGGGGAATAGTGCCCCGTCATTGGTTGTCAGTGGAGGAATAGTGCCCCGTCATTGGTTTGTCAAGGAATAGTGCCCGTCATTGGTGGTCAGCGGGAGGAATAGTGCCCGTCATTGGTGTCAGCGGGGAGAATGGGATTGGTTCGTCTCGCGCAGAGGAATAGGGTCCCGTCATTTGGTGTTCAAGCGGGAGGATAGAGTGTCCCGTCATTGGTGTCAGCGGGAGGAGTAGATGCCCCGTCATTGGTGTATTGGTGTCAGTGGGAGGAGTAGATGCCCCAGGAAATAGTGCATTGGTGTCAGGAATAGGGAGGTGTCAGTAGTGCCCCATCATTGGTGTCAGTGGGAGGAATTAGTGGGTGTCAGGAGGGATAGATGGTGTGCCCCATCATTGGTGTCAGTGGGAGAGTGAGTGCCCCATCATTGGTGTCAGTGGGAGAGGAGTGGTGTGCCCCATCATTGGTGTCAGTGGGAGGAGTGTGCCCCATCATTGGTGTCAGTGGGAGGAGTGATGCCCCATCATTGGTGTCAGTGGGAGGAATGATGCCCCATCATTGGTGTCAGTGGGAGGAGTGATGCCCCATCATTGGTGTCAGTGGGAGGAGTGATGCCCCATCATTGGTGTCAGTGGGAGGAGCGATGCCCCATCATTGGTGTCAGTGGGAGGAGCGATGCCCCATCATTGGTGTCAGTGGGAGGAGCGGATGATGCCCCATCATTGGTGTCAGTGGGAGGAGCGATGCCCATCATTGGTGTCAGTGGGAGGAGCGATGCCCCATCATTGGTGTCAGTGGGAGGAGCGATGCCCCATCATTGGTGTCAGTGGGAGGAGCGATGCCCCATCATTGGTGTCAGTGGGAGGAGCGATGCCCCATCATTGGTGTCAGTGGGAGGGGGAGGAGCGATGCCCCCATCATTGGTGTCAGTGGGAGGAGCGATGCCCCATCATTGGTGTCAGTGGGAGGAGCGATGCCCCATCATTGGTGTCAGTGGGAGGAGCGATGCCCCATCATTGGTGTCAGTGGGAGGAGCGATGCCCCATCATTGGTGTCAGTGGGAGGAGCGATGCCCCATCATTGGTGTCAGTGGGAGGAGCGATGCCCCATCATTGGTGTCAGTGGGAGGAGCGATGCCCCATCATTGGTGTCAGTGGGAGGAGCGATGCCCCATCATTGGTGTCAGTGGGAGGAGCGATGCCCCATCATTGGTGTCAGTGGGAGGAGCGATGCCCCATCATTGGTGTCAGTGGGAGGAGCGATGCCCCATCATTGGTGTCAGTGGGAGGAGCGATGCCCCATCATTGGTGTCAGTGGGAGGAGCGATGCCCCATCATTGGTGTCAGTGGGAGGAGCGATGCCCCATCATTGGTGTCAGTGGGAGGAGCGATGCCCCATCATTGGTGTCAGTGGGAGGAGCGATGCCCCATCATTGGTGTCAGTGGGAGGAGCGATGCCCCATCATTGGTGTCAGTGGGAGGAGCGATGCCCCATCATTGGTGTCAGTGGGAGGAGCGATGCCCCATCATTGGTGTCAGTGGGAGGAGCGATGCCCCATCATTGGTGTCAGTGGGAGGAGTGATGCCCCATCATTGGTGTCAGTGGGAGGAGTGATGCTTTAGTGGGGCGTGGCTTAGGGTGGGGACTATGTCAGAAGGCGGGTATGTTGACCTTTGCGGAGGCGGTTTCCATCGTGTACATACAGAACATCGGAGGACCTCCTGTTCCTCACTGTACCTCTCCTCCCAGGAACATCTTCTTGTCATAGTCGGCGTGGTGCTCGCCATCCACATAGTGCTCATCGCTGGGATGGTGGGCGGAGCCGTGCAGATGTGACGCGCTGAGAGTCAGGCTCACGGATACCAAGACCACCAATACATTCATCATTCTGGATGGAATCCCTGCAAAGAAGAATATTGTCATTACCACGGAGCTCCATGACAGGCACACACAGGTCTCAGGGGAGAGAATGTCAGAGAGTCACAGACAGAGCGAGTCCATGATTCACCGACACCAGTGAATCTACAGACCCATTATATGGCTGATGGACGTTTATACAAACGGATCCACCGCAGGCTGCACAACGATACAATCACAGCAAATATCCTGTGAAAGCAGCAATCATCCAAATAAAGTGCTGAAAGGATGAAGCGTCCCGCAAGGGGTGAGGCGCCCCGCAAGGGGTGAGGCGCCCCGCAAGGGGTGAGGCGTCCCGCAAGGGGTGAGGCGTCCCGCAAGGGGTGAGGCGTCCCGCAAGGGGTGAGGCGTCCCGCAAGGGGTGAGGCGTCCCGCAAGGGGTGAGGCGTCCCGCAAGGGGTGAGGCGTCCCGCAAGGGGTGAAGCGTCCCGCAAGGGTGAAGCGTCCCGCAAGGGGTGAAGCGTCCCGCATGGGATGAAGCGTCCCGCATGGGATGAAGCGTCCCGCAAGGGATGAAGCGTCCCGCAAGGGATGAAGCGTCCCGCAAGGGATGAAGCGTCCCGCAAGGGATGAAGCGTCCCGCAAGGGATGAAGCGTCCATAAAGGATGAAGCGTCCCGCAAGGGATGAAGCGTCCCGCAAGGGATGAAGCGTCCGTAAAGGATGAAGCGTCCCGCAAGGGATGAAGCGTCCCGCAAGGGATGAAGCGTCCCGCAAGGGATGAAGCGTCCCGCAAGGGATGAAGCGTCCCGCAAGGGATGAAAGCGTCCCGCAAGGGATGAAGCGTCCCGCAAGGGATGAAGCGTCCCGCAAGGGATGAAGCGTCCCGCAAGGGATGAAGCGTCCCGCAAGGGATGAAGCGTCCCGCAAGGGATGAAGCGTCCGTAAAGGATGAAGCGTCCCGCAAAGGATGAAGCGTCCCGCAAGGGATGAAGCGTCCCGCAAGGGATGAAGCGTCCCGCAAGGGATGAAGCGTCCCGCAAGGGATGAAGCGTCCGTAAAGGATGAAGCGTCCGTAAAGGATGAAGCGTCCCGCAAAGGATGAAGCGTCCCGCAAGGGATGAAGCGTCCCGCAAGGGATGAAGCGTCCCGCAAGGGATGAAGCGTCCCGCAAGGGATGAAGCGTCCCGCAAGGGATGAAGCGTCCCGCAAGGGATGAAGCGTCCGTAAAGGATGAAGCGTCCCGCAAGGGATGAAGCGTCCCGCAAGGGATGAAGCGTCCCGCAAGGGATGAAGCGTCCCGCAAGGGATGAAGCGTCCCGCAAGGGATGAAGCGTCCCGCAAGGGATGAAGCGTCCCGCAAGGGATGAAGCGTCCCGCAAGGGATGAAGCGTCCCGCAAAGGATGAAGCGTCCCGCAAGGGATGAAGCGTCCCGCAAGGGATGAAGCGTCCGTAAAGGATGAAGCGTCTGCAAAGGGCTCTAACCGGAGGCATGAATTGAATGTAAGAGTTGTGGGGAAGAACAGGCTGCTGCACGCTGACAGAACACAAGTGTCCCCATTTATTGTAGAGACGATCCATGGCAATGGCAGCCCCCATCCTAGGACCGCCCTCTCATGTTTCCCCCAATCAGGGCTGAACTGTAGAGCTGGTGGTGTCTCTAGGACAAGGCCCTGATTGGGCGGGCAGGCCTAGGGTGACAACTCCCTGTGCCATGGAGAGTTTCTGCAATAAATGGGGACCCTTGTGACCCACCCAGTGTGCGGCAGCCTTTTCTTTCACTTCCAGGTGGAGAAGGTGGATGGGCTCGGCCGGCTTCTCCTGGATTTGGAGCGGAGAGCCCCTTCAATCCGGTTTTGGGAAACCTTTACATCAATGGGTTCAGCTCCACTTTCATAAATCCGTCTGACTTGTAGGAAATGTTCTGTTTTACAGGAAAAGGAAAGTGAAGAGAAGGATGAAAGAAGAGCTTGGGAAGAGGAGGATCAGCATGACAAGATGTGAGGTGGATGGTGAAGAACTGAAAGTGAGCAGATGGCACACCATGATTCACCCCGAGGAGAAGCTTCGCATCATCGAGGTCTGCGGCCTATCCGAGTGCGGCTCCCGCTCATCATCGAGGTCTGCGGCCTATCAGAGTGCGGCTCCCGCTCATCATCGAGGTCTGCGGCCTATCAGAGTGCGGCTCCCGCTCGTCATCGAGGTCTGCGGCCTATCAGAGTGCGGCTCCCGCTCGTCATCGAGGTCTGCGGCCTATCCGAGTGCGGCTCCCGCTCATCATCGAGGTCTGCGGCCTATCAGAGTGCGGCTCCCGCTCGTCATCGAGGTCTGCGGCCTATCAGAGTGCGGCTCCCGCTCGTCATCGAGGTCTGCGGCCTATCCGAGTGCGGCTCCCGCTCATCACTGAGGTCTGCAGCCTATCCGAGTGCGGCTCCCGCTCATCATCGAGGTCTGCGGCCTATCAGAGTGCGGCTCCCGCTCGTCATCGAGGTCTGCGGCCTATCAGAGTGCGGCTCCCGCTCGTCATCGAGGTCTGCGGCCTATCCGAGTGCGGCTCCCGCTCATCACTGAGGTCTGCAGCCTATCCGAGTGTGGCTCCCGCTCATCATCGAGGTCTGCAGCCTATCAGAGTGCGGCTCCTGCTCATCAGCCTATCCGAGTGCGGCTCCTGCTCATCAGCCTATCCGAGTGCGGCTCCCGCTCATCAGCCTATCCGAGTGCGGCTCCCGCTCATCAGCCTATCCGAGTGCGGCTCCCGCTCATCAGCCTATCCGAGTGCGGCTCCCGCTCATCAGCCTATCCGAGTGCGGCTCCCGCTCATCAGCCTATCCGAGTGCGGCTCTCCCGCTCATCAGCCTATCCGAGTGCGGCTCCCGCTCATCAGCCTATCCGAGTGCGGCTCCCGCTCATCAGCCTATCCGAGTGCGGCTCCCGCTCAGTTTCACAATGAGAGATGACAGATATCCTCCTTCTGGGAAATAATAAACACGTTCCGTAGACGACACACAACCAGGAATGTTTCCTTTGATTTCCACACAACTGGATGACCTCAGGATGAATGAACACAACTTCTAGAGAATGATTGTGACATTTCCGTGTTTAGAAATTCCAAGTTCTTCAATGTCTCTGTATTTGGCAGACATACATGTTCATTATTCCTACACATGATCTCCATACGGAGTCCTACTCTTCCTGTTTTGTACATGGATATTGTTCGGCCACATCTTGAGTGTGCCATCCTTGTATGGGGGATGGAGGAGCTCAGCTATGGGGGGATGGAGGAGCTCCGCTATGGGGGGGGATGGAGGAGCTCCGCTATGGGGGGGGGATGGAGGAGCTCCGCTATGGGGGGGAATGGAGGAGCTCCGCTATGGGGGGGAATGGAGGAGCTCCGCTATGGGGGGGAATGGAGGAGCTCCGCTATGGGCGGAATGGAGGAGCTCCGCTATGGGGGGGAATGGAGGAGCTCCGCTATGGGCGGAATGGAGGAGCTCCGCTATGGGCGGAATGGAGGAGCTCCGCTATGGGCGGAATGGAGGAGCTCCGCTATGGGCGGAATGGAGGAGCTCCGCTATGGGGGGGGGAATGGAGGAGCTCCGCTATGGGGGGGGAATGGAGGAGCTCCGCTATGGGGGGGAATGGAGGAGCTCCGCTATGGGGGGGGAATTGGAGGAGCTCCGCTATGGGGGGGGAATTGGAGGAGCTCCGCTATGGGGGGGGAATTGGAGGAGCTCCGTTATGGGGGGGATGGAGGAGCTCCGCTATGGGGGGGATGGAGGAGCTCCGCTATGGGGGGGATGGAGGAGCTCCGCTATGGGGGGGATGGAGGAGCTCCGCTATGGGGGGGATGGAGGAGCTCCGCTATGGGGGGGGATGGAGGAGCTCCGCTATGGGGGGGATGGAGGAGCTCCGCTATGGGGGGAATTGGAGGAGCTCCGCTATGGGGGGAATTGGAGGAGCTCCGTTATGGGCGGAATGGAGGAGCTCCGTTATGGGGGGGGGAATTGGAGGAGCTCCGTTATGGGGGGGATGGGAGGAGCTCCGTTATGGGGGGGATGGGAGGAGCTCCGTTATGGGGGGGATGGGAGGAGCTCCGTTATGGGGGGGATGGGAGGAGCTCCGTTATGGGGGGAATTGGAGGAGCTCCGCTATGGGGGGAATTGGAGGAGCTCCGCTATGGGGGGAATTGGAGGAGCTCCGCTATGGGGGGAATTGGAGGAGCTCCGCTATGGGGGGGAATTGGAGGAGCTCCGCTATGGGGGGAATTGGAGGAGCTCCGTTATGGGGGGGATGGAGGAGCTCCGTTATGGGGGGGATGGGAGGAGCTCCGTTATGGGGGGGGATGGAGGAGCTCCGCTATGGGGGGGATGGAGGAGCTCCGCTATGGGGGGGATGGAGGAGCTCCGCTATGGGGGGGATGGAGGAGCTCCGCTATGGGGGGGGGGGGATGGAGGAGCTCCGCTATGGGGGGAATTGGAGGAGCTCCGCTATGGGGGGGATGGAGGAGCTCCGCTATGGGGGGAATTGGAGGAGCTCCGCTATGGGGGGGGATGGAGGAGCTCCGTTATGGGGGGGATGGAGGAGCTCCGTTATGGGGGGGATGGAGGAGCTCCGTTATGGGGGGGATGGAGGAGCTCCGTTATGGGGGGGATGGAGGAGCTCCGTTATGGGGGGGATGGAGGAGCTCCGTTATGGGGGGAATTGGAGGAGCTCCGTTATGAGGGGGAATTGGAGGAGCTCCGTTATGGGGGGGATGGAGGGAGCTCCGCTATGGGGGGAATTGGAGGAGCTCCGTTATGGGGGGGGGGCTCCGGGGGGGAGGAGCTCCGCTATGGGGGGGATGGAGGAGCTCCGTTATGGGGGGGATGGAGGAGCTCCGCTATGGGGGGAATTGGAAGAGCTCCGTTATGGGGGGGATGGAGGAGCTCCGCTATGGGGGGAATTGGAAGAGCTCCGTTATGGGGGGGAATTGGAGGAGCTCCGCTATGGGGGGAATTGGAAGAGCTCCGTTATGGGGGGGAATTGGAGGAGCTCCGTTATGGGGGGGAATTGGAGGAGCTCCGCTATGGGGGGGATGGAGGAGCTCCGCTATGGGGGGAATTGGAGGAGCTCCGCTATGGGGGGAATTGGAGGAGCTCCGTTATGGGGGGGATGGAGGAGCTCCGCTATGGGGGGGATGGAGGAGCTCCGCTATGGGGGGGATGGAGGAGCTCCGTTATGGGGGGGATGGAGGAGCTCCGTTATGGGGGGGATGGAGGAGCTCCGCTATGGGGGGAATTGGAGGAGCTCCGTTATGGGGGGGATGGAGGAGCTCCGCTATGGGGGGGATGGAGGAGCTCCGCTATGGGGGGGAATTGGAGGAGCTCCGCTATGGGGGGGATGGAGGAGCTCCGTTATGGGGGGGATGGAGGAGCTCCGTTATGGGGGGGATGGAGGAGCTCCGTTATGGGGGGGATGGAGGAGCTCCGTTATGGGGGGGATGGAGGAGCTCCGTTATGGGGGGGATGGAGGAGCTCCGTTATGGGGGGGATGGAGGAGCTCCGTTATGGGGGGAATTGGAGGAGCTCCGTTATGAGGGGGGGGATTGGAGGAGCTCCGTTATGGGGGGGATGGAGGAGCTCCGCTATGGGGGGGATGGAGGAGCTCCGTTATGGGGGGGATGGAGGAGCTCCGCTATGGGGGGAATTGGAAGAGCTCCGTTATGGGGGGGATGGAGGAGCTCCGCTATGGGGGGAATTGGAAGAGCTCCGTTATGGGGGGGAATTGGAGGAGCTCCGCTATGGGGGGAATTGGAAGAGCTCCGTTATGGGGGGGAATTGGAGGAGGAGCTCCGCTATGGGGGGGATGGAGGAGCTCCGCTATGGGGGGTGGAGGAGCTCCGCTATGGGGGGAATTGGAGGAGCTCCGTTATGGGGGGGATGGAGGAGCTCCGCTATGGGGGGGATGGAGGAGCTCCGCTATGGGGGGGGATGGAGGAGCTCCGTTATGGGGGGGATGGAGGAGCTCCGTTATGGGGGGGATGGGAGGAGCTCCGCTATGGGGGGAATTGGAGGAGCTCCGTTATGGGGGGGATGGAGGAGCTCCGCTATGGGGGGAATTGGAGGAGCTCCGCTATGGGGGGAATTGGAGGAGCTCCGCTATGGGGGGGATGGAGGAGCTCCGCTATGGGGGGGATGGAGGAGCTCCGTTATGGGGGGGATGGAGGAGCTCCGTTATGGGGGGGGATGGAGGAGCTCCGCTATGGGGGGAATTGGAGGAGCTCCGTTATGGGGGGGATGGAGGAGCTCCGCTATGGGGGGAATTGGAGGAGCTCCGTTATGGGGGGATGGAGGAGCTCCGTTATGGGGGGGATGGAGGAGCTCCGCTATGGGGGGAATTGGAGGAGCTCCGCTATGGGGGGAATTGGAGGAGCTCCGTTATGGGGGGGGATGGAGGAGCTCCTCCGTTATGGGGGGGATGGAGGAGCTCCGCTATGGGGGGAATTGGAGGAGCTCCGCTATGGGGGGATGGAGGAGCTCCGCTATGGGGGGATGGAGGAGCTCCGCTATGGGGGGATGGAGGAGCTCCGCTATGGGGGGATGGAGGAGCTCCGCTATGGGGGGATGGAGGAGCTCCGCTATGGGGGGATGGAGGAGCTCCGCTATGGGGGGATGGAGGAGATTAGCCTATCAGTGCACATCATGAAAGAGAAACATTTTTATAAAACGTTTTATAACAGAAAACTAAGAATCTTTTTTTTTCAAAATTTTCAGTCTTTTTTCACTTGTTTAGCAAAAAAATAAAAAAAAATCCCACCAAAAGAAAGCTGTCTAAAAAAAAACATGATAAAAAATTTCATGCGGGTACAGCGTTCAGCGTTGCATGACTGCGCAATTGTCAGGGCGTAACGAAAGCTGAAAATTGGCGAAGGGGGTGAAGTGAACCCGGTCAGTGTTGGATGGAGGGGGAAGACCCCCCCGTCAGTGTTGGATGGAGGGGGAAGACCCCCCCGTCAGTGTTGGATGGAGGGGGGAAGACCCCCCCGTCAGTGTTGGATGGAGGGGGAAGACCCCCCCGTCAGTGTTGGATGGAGGGGGAAGACCCCCCCGTCAGTGTTGGATGGAGGGGGAAGACCCCCCCGTCAGTGCTGGATGGAGGGGGAAGACCCCCCCCCCGTCAGTGCTGGATGGAGGGGGAAGACCCCCCCCCCGTCAGTGTTGGATGGAGGGGGAGGGGGAAGACCCCCCGTCAGTGTTGGATGGAGGGGGAGGGGGAAGACCCCCCGTCAGTGTTGGATGGAGGGGGGAGACCCCCTGTCAGTGTTGGATGGAGGGGGGAGACCCCCTGTCAGTGTTGGATGGAGGGGGGAGACCCCCTGTCAGTGTTGGATGGAGGGGGAGGGGGGAAGCCCTGTCAGTGTTGGATGGAGGGGGAGGGGGGAAGCCCTGTCAGTGTTGGATGGAGGGGGAGGGATGAGACCCCCTGTCAGTGTTGGATGGAGGGGGAGGGGGGGACCCCCTGTCAGTGTTGGATGGAGGGGGAGGGGGGGACCCCCTGTCAGTGTTGGATGGAGGGGGAGGGGGGGAGACCCCCTGTCAGTGTTGGATGGAGGGGGAGGGGGGGAGACCCCCTGTCAGTGTTGGATGGAGGGGGAGGGGGGGAGACCCCCTGTCAGTGTTGGGGGGAGACCCCCTGTCAGTGTTGGGGGGAGGAGGGGAGACCCCCTGTCAGTGTTGGGGGGAGGGGGGAGACCCCCTGTCAGTGTTGGGGGGAGGGGGGGAGGGATGAGACCCCCTGTCAGTGTTGGGGGGAGGGATGAGACCCCCTGTCAGTGTTGGATGGAGGGGGGAGTTGCAGTGGGGGGGGGGAGTGTGCAGTGTGATGGGTGCAGTGGGGGGGGGGGGTGTGTGCAGTGGGGTGGGTGCAGTGGGAGGGGGGGGGGAGGGGAGGGTGCAGTGGGGGGGTGCAGTGGGGGGATGGGAGTGTGCAGTGTGATGGGTGTGCAGTGGGAGGGGAGTGTGCAGTGTGGTGGGTGCAGTGGGGGGGGGGGGAAGAGTGTGCAGTGTGGTGGGTGCAGTGGGGGGAGGGAGTGTGCAATGTGATGGATGCAGTGGGGGGATGAGAGTGTGCAGTGGGGGGGTGCAGTGGGGGGATGGGAGTGTGTGCAGTGTGATGGGTGCAGTGGGAGGGGAGTGTGCAGTGTGGTGGGTGCAGTGGGGGGGGGGAGTGTGCAGTGTGGTGGGTGCAGTGGGGGGAGGGAGTGTGCAATGTGATGGATGCAGTGGGGGGATGAGAGTGTGCAGTGTGGTGGGTGCAGTGGGGGGGGGGGGGGGGGGGGGGGTAGTGTGGTGGGTGCAGTGTGGGGGGGGGGGGGGGGGGGGGAGTGTGCAGTGGGGGGGGGGGGGGGGTGTGTGCAGTGGGGGGGGGGGGGAGAGTGTGGTGGGTGCAGTGGGGGGGGGGGGGGGGGGGGGGGAGTGTGCAGTGTGGCGGGTGCAGTGGGGGGGGGGGGGGGGTGAGTGTGCAGTGTGGTGGGTGCAGTGGGGGGGGGGGGGGGGGGGGGGGGGGGGGTGGGGGCAGTGGGGGGGGGGGGTGCAGTGTGGTGGGCCTGTGGATACAAAACTGAGCAACTCTGACTACAGCTGCAAATCGCCCGTTATAGGTGTCAGCCATTTATATATATATCTCCCAGAAGTGAGCCCCCCCTCCCCCGGACTGTATACAATGTATATATATATAATTAGTATCCCCCAGAAGTGAGCCCCCCCCTCCCCCCTCCCCCTCACATTTGTGTCAATATTTGATTCTCTCTTTTCATGTGACAACACTGAAGAAATGACACTTTGCTACAATGTGACGTTAGTCAGTGTACAGTTTGTATAACATGGAAATTTCCTGTCCCCTCAAAATATCTCAACACTCCGCCATTAATGTCTACACCGCTGGCAACAAAAGTGACTCCACCCCTAAGTGACGAGGTCCACATGGGGCCCAAAGTGTCAATATTTTGTGTGTCCGCCATTATTTTCCAGCACTGCCTTCACCCTCTTGGACATGGAGGTCACCAGAGCTTCACAGGTTGTACTGGAGTCCTCTTCCCCTCCTCCATGACATCATCACGGAGCTGGTGGATGTTAGAGACCTTGCACTCCTCCACCTTCCCTTTGAGGATGTCCCACAGATGCTCAATAGGGTTCAGGTCTGGAGACACGCTTGGCCAATCCATCACCTTCATCCTCAGCTTCTTTAGCAAGGCAGTGGTGGTCTTGGAGGTGTTTGGGGTCGTTATGTTGGAATATTGCCCTGTGGCCCAGTCTGTGGGGGGAGGGGATCATACTCTGCTTCAGGATGTCACAGTACATGTTGGCCTTCATGGATCCCTCAATGAACTGTAGCCCCCCCAGTGCCGGCAGCACTCATGCAGCCCCAGACCGTGACACCCCCTGCCACCGCCACGCGGCCCCAGACCGTGACACCCCCACCGCCACGCGGCACCAGACCGTGACACCCCCACCGCCACGCGGCCCCAGACCGTGACACCCCCACCGCCACGCGGCCCCAGACCGTGACACCCCCACCGCCACGCGGCCCCAGACCGTGACACCCCCACCGCCACGGGGCCCCAGACCGTGACACCCCCACCGCCACGCGGACCCCAGACCGTGACACCCCCACCGCCACGCGGCCCCAGACCGTGACACCCCCACCGCCACGCGGCCCCAGACCATGACACCCCCACGGGGCCCCAGACCATGACACCCCCACCGCCACGGGGCCCCAGACCATGACACCCCCCACGGGGCCCCAGACCATGACACCCCCACCGCCACGGGGCCCCAGACCATGACACAACCACCACATGGGGCCCCAGACCATGACACCCCCACCGCCATGCGGCCCCAGACCATGACACAACCACCACATGGGGCCCCAGACCGTGACACCCCCACACCATGCGGCCCCAGACCGTGACACCCCCACCACCATGCGGCCCCAGACCGTGACACCCCCACCACCATGCAGCCCAAGACCATGACACCCCACACCACCATGGGGCCCCAGACCGTGACACCCCCACCACCATGCGGCCCCAGACCGTGACACCCCCACCACCATGCGGGCCCCAGACCATGACACCCCCACCACCATGCGGCCCCAGACCGTGACACCCCCACCACCATGCGGCCCCAGACCATGACACCCCCACCACCATGCAGCCCCAGACCATGACACCCCCACCAGTATGCGGCCCCAGACCATGACACCCCCATTACCATGCTTGACTATTTCAGGGTTTCATAGCTTAGTATTGTCATGCTGGAGGTGAGCAGTCACGGCCAACAACAAGACAGGATGGGATGATGCCATATTGGGAGTTTTTCAGTCAGGCTTCAGGTGGTACATTATATTGCCGAACGTATTGGGCCGCCGCCTTTCCACGCACATGACCTTTAATGGCCCCCCAGTCTTAGTCCGTAGGGTTCAATATTGAGTTGGCCCCGCCCTTTCCACACACATGACCTTTAATGGCCCCCCAGTCTTAGTCCGTAGGGTTCAATATTGAGTTGGCCCCGCCCTTCCCACACATGACCTTTTAATGGCCCCCCAGTCTTAGCCCGTAGGGTTCAATATTGAGTTGGCCCCACCCTTTCCACACACATGACCTTTAATGGCCCCCCAGTCTCAGTCCGTAGGGTTCAATATTGAGTTGGCCCCGCCCTTTCCACACACATGACCTTTAATGGCCCCCCAGTCTTAGCCTGTAGGGTTCAATATTGAGTTGGCCCCGCCCTTTCCACACACATGACCTTTAATGGCCCCCCAGTCTTAGTCCGTAGGGTTCAATATTGAGTTGGCCCCGCCCTTCCCACACATGACCTTTTAATGGCCCCCCAGTCTTAGCCCGTAGGGTTCAATATTGAGTTGGCCCCCCCACCCTTTCCACACACATGACCTTTAATGGCCCCCCAGTCTCAGTCCGTAGGGTTCAATATTGAGTTGGCCCGCCCTTTCCACACACATGACCTTTAATGGCCCCCCAGTCTTAGCCTGTAGGGTTCAATATTGAGTTGGCCCCGCCCTTTCCACACACATGACCTTTAATGGCCCCCCAGTCTTAGTCCGTAGGGTTCAATATTGAGTTGGCCCCGCCCTTCCCACACATGACCCTTTTAATGGCCCCCCCAGTCTTAGCCCCGTAGGGTTCAATATTGAGTTGGCCCCACCCTTTTCCACCACACACATGACCTTTAATGGCCCCCCAGTCTCAGTCCGTAGGGTTCAATATTGAGTTGGCCCCGCCCTTTCCACACACATGACCTTTAATGGCCCCCCAGTCTTAGCCTGTAGGGTTCAATATTGAGTTGGCCCCCGCCCTTTCCACACACATGACCTTTAATGGCCCCCCAGTCTTAGTCCATAGGGTTCAATATTGAGTTGGCCCCGCCCTTCCCACACATGACCTTTTAATGGCCCCCCAGTCTTAGTCCGTAGGGTTCAAATATTGAGTTGGCCCCCGCCCTTTCCACACACACGACCTTTAATGGCCCCCCCAGTCTCAGTCCGTAGGGTTCAAATATTGAGTTGGCCCCGCCCTTTCCCACACACATGACCTTTAATGGCCCCCCATTCTTAGTCCGTAGGGTTCAATATTGAGTTGGCCCCGCCCTTTGCACCTATAACAGCTTCAACTCTTCTGGGAAGGCCGCCCACAAGGTTTAGGAGGGTGTCTATGGGAAGGTTGGACCATTCTTCCAGAAGCACATTTGTCAGGTCAGGCACTGATGTCGGGGGAGGGGCACTGATGTCGGGGGAGGGGCACTGATGTCGGGGGAGGAGGCCTGGCTCGCAGTCTCCGCTCTAATTCATCCCAAAGGTGTTCTATGGGGTTGAGAGGTCAGGACTCTGTGCAGGACAGTCAAGTTCCTCCACCCCAAACTGGCTCCTCCATGTCTTTATGGACCTTGCTTTGTGCACTGGGGGGCAGTCATGTTTTGGAACAGGAAGGGGCCATCCCCAAACTCCCTCCACAAAGTTGGGAGCATGAAATTGTCCAACATGTTGCCTTAAGAGTTCCCTTCACTGGAACTAGGGGGCCAAGACCAACCCCTGAGAAACACCCCCACACCATAATCCCCCCTCCACCACACTTTACACTTGGCACAATGCAGACAGGCAAGTACCGTTCTCCTGGCCACCGCCAAACCCAGACACGTCCATCGGATTGCCAGACAGAGAAGCATGATTGGTCAGTCCAGAGAACACGTCTCCCCTTGCTCTAGAGTCCAGTGGCGGCGTGCTTTACACCACGGCATCCGACGCTTTGCATTGCACTTGGTGATGGAAGGCTTGGATGCAGCTGCTCAGCCATGGAAACCCATTCCATGAAGCTCTCTACGCACTGTTGTTGGGCTCATCTGAAGGCCACACCAAGTTTGGAGGTCTTTAGCTATTGACTCTGCAGACAGTTGGCGACTTCTGCGCACTGTGCGCTTCAGCATGCGCTGACCCGCCCTGTCATGTGACATGGCCTACCACTTGGTGGCTGAGTGGCTGTTGTTCCCAGTTGCTTCCACTTTGTTATAATCCCACTAACAGTTGAGCGTGGAATATTTAGTAGCCAGGAAATGTCACGGATGGACTTATTGCCCAGGTGGCCACCTATCACGGGACCACGCTTGGAGTCACGGAGCTCCTGAGAGCGACCCATTCTTTCACCAATGTTTGTAGAAGCCGTCTGCATGCCTAGGGGCTTGATTGTATACACCTGTGTCCATGGAGGGGATTGGAACACCTGAATCACGTGATATGGAGGGGATTGGAACACCCGAATCACGTGATTGGGAGGGGATTGGAGCACCCGAATCACGTGATTGGGAGGGGATTGGAGCACCCGAATCACGTGATATGGAGGGGATTGGAACACCCGAATCACGTGATATGGAGGGGATTGGAACACCCGAATCACGTGATATGGAGGGGATTGGAACACCCGAATCACGTGATATGGAGGGGATTGGAACACCCGAATCACTTGATATGGAGGGGATTGGGGCACCCGAATCACTTGATATGGAGGGGATTGGGGCACCCGAATCACGTGATATGGAGGGGATTGGGGCACCCGAATCACGTGATATGGAGGGGATTGGGGCACCCGAAATCACGTGATATGGAGGGGATTGGGGCACCCGAGTCACGTGATATGGAGGGGATTGGGGCACCCGAGTCACGTGATATGGAGGGGATTGGGGCACCCGAGTCACGTGATATGGAGGGGATTGGGGCACCCGAGTCACGTGATATGGAGGGGATTGGGGCACCCGAGTCACGTGATATGGAGGGGATTGGGGCACCCGAGTCACGTGATATGGAGGGGATTGGGGCACCCGAGTCACGTGATATGGAGGGGATTGGGGCACCCGAGTCACGTGATATGGAGGGGATTGGGGGCACCCGAGTCACGTGATATGGAGGGGATTGGGGCACCCGAGTCACGTGATATGGAGGGGATTGGGGCACCCGAGTCACGTGATATGGAGGGGATTGGGGCACCCGAGTCACGTGATATGGAGGGGATTGGGGCACCCGAGTCACGTTGATATGGAGGGGATTGGGGCACCCGAGTCACGTGATATGGAGGGGATTGGGACACCCGAGTCACGTGATATGGAGGGGATTGGGACACCGAGTCACGTGATATGGAGGGGATTGGGACACCCGAGTCACGTGATATGGAGGGGATTGGGACACCCGAGTCACGTGATATGGAGGGGATTGGGGACACCCGAGTCACGTGATATGGAGGGGATTGGGGACACCCGAGTCACGTGATATGGAGGGGATTGGGACACCCCGAGTCACGTGATATGGAGGGGATTGGGACACCCGTAGTCACGTGATATGGAGGGGATTGGGACACCCGAGTCACGTGATATGGAGGGGATTGGGACACCCGAGTCACGTGATATGGAGGGGATTGGGACACCCGAGTCACGTGATATGGAGGGGATTGGGACACCCGAGTCACGTGATATGGAGGGGATTGGGACACCCGAGTCACGTGATATGGAGGGGATTGGGACACCCGAGTCACGTGATATGGAGGGGATTGGGACACCCCGAGTCACGTGATATGGAGGGGATTGGGACACCCGAGTCACGTGATATGGAGGGGATTGGGACACCCCGAGTCACGTGATATGGAGGGGATTGGGACACCCGAGTCACGTGATATGGAGGGGATTGGGACACCCGAGTCACGTGATATGGAGGGGATTGGGACACCCGAGTCACGTGATATGGAGGGGATTGGGGACACCCGAGTCACGTGATATGGAGGGGATTGGGACACCCGAGTCACGTGATATGGAGGGGATTGGGACACCCGAGTCACGTGATATGGAGGGGATTGGGACACCCGAGTCACGTGATATGGAGGGGATTGGGACACCCGAAGTCACGTGATATGGAGGGGATTGGGACACCCGAGTCACGTGATATGGAGGGGATTGGGACACCCGAGTCACGTGATATGGAGGGGATTGGGACACCCGAGTCACGTGATATGGAGGGGATTGGGACACCCGAGTCACGTGATATGGAGGGGATTGGGACACCCGAGTCACGTGATATGGAGGGGATTGGGACACCCGAGTCACGTGATATGGAGGGGATTGGGACACCCGAGTCACGTGATATGGAGGGGATTGGGACACCCGAGTCACGTGATATGGAGGGGATTGGGACACCCGAGTCACGTGATATGGAGGGGATTGGGACAACCCGAGTCACGTGATATGGAGGGGATTGGGACACCCGAGTCACGTGATATGGAGGGGATTGGGACACCCGAGTCACGTGATATGGAGGGGATTGGGACACCCGAGTCACGTGATATGGAGGGGATTGGGACACCCGAGTCACGAGTGATATGGAGGGGATTGGGACACCCGAGTCACGTGATATGGAGGGGATTGGGACACCCGAGTCACGTGATATGGAGGGGATTGGGACACCCGAGAGTCACGTGATATGGAGGGGATTGGGACACCCGAGTCACGTGATATGGAGGGGATTGGGACACCCGAGTCACGTGATATGGAGGGGATTGGGACACCCGAGTCACGTGATATGGAGGGGATTGGGACACCCGAGTCACGTGATATGGAGGGGATTGGGACACCCGAGTCACGTGATATGGAGGGGATTGGGACACCCGAGTCACGTGATATGGAGGGGATTGGGACACCCGAGTCACGTGATATGGAG